CCTTCCCACGCTCCTGCTGGGGGCTAAGGCAATGCTTATCTCCCCGAGCGCGGCCTTCATCGAAGCATTCCATCACACTTGCTCCTTTACCTTTAAAAATAAGACGCGTTTTCTCACGAGAACAAGTTGCAAAAGGGGGGGGGGTGTCTTTTTTCCCCTGCAGTAAATCGAAGAAACATGCTTTGTCCAAACCATTCCACTCCCAGCTCCCCATTCCCACTCGCAAAATAAGGAATTGTTTTTTTCTACTCTCTCTCTCTCTCTCTCTGGCTACGGCAGCGTAATGTTTCCTCCCTTCTCGCCGCCCCGCGCTCCCGCCGCCTGCTGGTTCCTGCTGCTGCTGCCGGCCGGCAGGTTCCCTCGGTCCCCTCTCTCGCCTCTCACCTGACTTAAGCACCGCATTTCTCCCGTCGCATTATTCTCTCTCCTTCCTCCCGGGAATGAATTTCTGACGGCGGGTGGCAGACCACCAACACCGACTTCGGCATGGCCGTGAGTCTTAAACTACCAGCTCCACAGCATGGACGGAAGCGGATGTTCGAGGACGGGATTGCATTTAAGGGCACTTGCCATGTATCTTGCAAGTCTGGGCAAGCCAGGGTTACCAGGAGTCTTTAACACCCAGCCACCCCCACCATCCCGGTTTCAGATTTCAATTGGAAAAAATGTGAGGTGAGGCATGCGGCTGGTTTCTCTTGGGAGAGGCTGGCTTGTGCTTTTTAAACTTGACAGTTAATTTTAAAAGACAGGTGTATATATTCCTTCCAGTGTTAGACTTCAGACAATGAAGGTAATGACGAACGTCCGAGAACTGCCTGATCTCGACTGCAAAAAGCCCCACAGCCGCTAAATGGCAGCAGAGAGAGATGTTTGGTACTCTTCGGTACTATCTAGGGTCGTTCTCTGCTTTGCAGCTGAGTCCTAGTACTGTAATCTCAGAATATTCTAGTGATAAACTTGCTAGGGCAAGGGAGAGGCAGGGAAACATGAAAATCGGATATGTGGTTGTGCTTCTGAAATGCAGAGGTGAAGGGAAAGTCAGAAATGCTCTTTGTATGCCCAGGACCCACATCCTAGTCCAAAAGTATTGTACTTTAAAGTGTGGGCACCACTTATTTTCAGTGATAAGGAAAATCACTGAATGTGCTTAGGGGCATTAGCATAATTATTTCACAAGTAAATCTATGAGCCTGTTGTTCCTTTAAGTTCGGGTGCCACTGCCTTCTTCCATAAATCACTGGATTCTGAGACTTGGTTGGTGGTAGCATAATTCTGAACTCCTAATCTCCCTTAAGCATTTATTTTTAAACACATTATTGAATCTGTTGTTGCTTAATATAATTCACTCATTATTGCTTTTGACTCTTGATCTTTTTTACTCTTGATACAGCAAATACTTTCTAGATGGTGGGATACAGGCAATGGGTGTGTTGGCTTGCAAGGTAGTCTCCAGATGAGAGATCCTAGCATACCCTAAGTAGAGTGAGCACACTTGGGGAAAAACTGAACTTTGATTATGGTTGTGCCAAAACTGTTCTTTCTAATAGCCAGAAATGCTGCATGTATCACAGGTACAACTAAGGCTTGCAATCTAATTGACACCTTTTCTTTCTCACTAAAATGCATTACAGTTGGTCCTTGTTCAATGCCCACTCATTCAGCGACTGTTCAAAGTTACAACAGTGCTGAATGAGGGGTACTTACAATGGGTCCTCATAGTTGCAGCCATTGCAGTGTCCCTACCATCATGTGATTGCAATTTGGGTCACAATTATGACATTGCAGCATCCTGCAATCATGTGACCACCATTTGCAACCTTCACTGCCGGCTTCCAACAAGCAATGGCAATGGGGAAACCAGCAGGAGGTCGCAAATCCCGATCGTGTGACCACGGGACACTGTGACTGTGCAGGCTTCGCCTAACAACAGCAACTGGCACTGCCAGAACTGCCATTGTAAGTTGGCATGGTCATGTGACATTGTGCCTTACGACTGTGTCACTTAGCAATGAAGCTCCCGGTCCCAGTTACTGTTGATAAGTGAGGACTATCTGTATTTGAAAGCCTCAATTGACTAAAGCCATGCTGGGTTGCAGCAGTCAGTATCTGTGGGCCCCAATCAAATGACTATAAACCAGTACTTCTTGGTGGCTGTATTTGCATGATAACATTCCTCTAGCATCATAAATTAGTGCTTCAACTGTGTTAAAATAATCCAAAATGGCTGACTTTGGGATTTGAACAAATCTCAAACCATACTAAAGAGCTACACATGGAGCATGTAAATGGTGTTGTGCATTCACTAACCAAGTTTGTGATGGAGCATATCATGCAAAGACAACTAATGTTCACTTTATTTAATTTCATTTGTATGTTATTGTTCTTGAGTTGAATAATATCCTAAAAATAAAGTAACTGACTTTCAAGGCCAATTCAGCATATTCCTCTGCACCAACTAGCCATCTTTGGACTGGGATCACATACCACACTAAATCATAAATCATGGTTTACTGACTATAGTGGCTGGGTTCACACAGTGTGCTCTGCCAAAGCAAAACAAATCCTAGAGTGTTTCAGAGAATCTAGGTTTAGTATCAAACAACACTCAGAGCATTCAGAAATGACTTTTCAGTGTAGGAATAGTGCCTAATGAAGAGTCACTTCAATTCACTATGAGAATGGACATCAAATGTGCCAGCATAGATGGCACAAGCAAATATTCAGTATCTGTTTCTCACAGTGGCCAGACTGGATGCTTCTGGAAAATTCTGAAGCATGGTGTGAAGACAAGAAGCCCTGCTGCTGTTGGCCTTAGAAAATGGGGTTTTATTTATTTATTTGACATACTTGTATGCCTATGCAGTTAAAAATGACTCTCAGTGGCTATCATCCATCTATCTATCTATCTATCTATCTATCTATCTATCTATCTAACCAGAAACAAAAATAAAAATGCATCTCTACTACAAGAATAGGAAGTAAATAAAAGATGGCAACAATACCTCAAATCAGGAAAAGTCTCTCCAAATAAACGTGGTCTTTAGGAACTTGTAGAAACCCAGCAAAGAGGGAGCCAGCCTGATCTTCACAGGGAGGCTATTAATTGCACACGTGGGACCTGCCCCCAAAATGTAGCCTGACATACCCATCTCTACAATACTCCATTCTATTTTCCAACCCCAACCCCCCCACCCCGTTAAACAGACAGCCAGTATTTGGAACCACTGAACACATTCTGTCTAAAAGTTTAGTACTTCTGCAAACCTTGGAATTTCCTTTGTGCCTAGGTGATGCTGTTTTGGCTCCATAAGGAACTACACCAATTCTTAATAATTAGAAATAGATGGAATTACATCCTGCAACTGTTTTAGAATTATTCAGTATTGCATCTGCTTCCCAGAATGTTTCAGAAAAGACAAGGACTTGGAGAGCAAAGGATCTTTTCCTGTCCTACAGACTTCATTTCTCATATACTTTACTTGCACCCTAGTATTTCATCATATCTATCTATCAATCAATCAACCAATCACATTTATATTTAGATGGCCGCCCATCTCACAAAGAGTGACTCTGGGCAGCGTGCAGAATTGTTCTTATACTTGAACCTGGAATAAAATGTCAAATTGACAATTTTCTGCTACAGAAACTGCCTCTTCTGAAACCTGCAGTTTGTAACATCTGCCTCCTTTGCTTCCTAGTGAGGCTGATTAACATGCCTTAGTATATTTCTTCATATATCTGGAAGTTATTAGGAAGTAATTGCTGCTCTGACTGGTGTGGGTCTTCCAGGCTGTGTGGTCGTGTTCTGGAGGTTTTGTTTCCTAACGTTTCGCCAGCACCTGTGACCGGCATCTTCAGAGTGCAGGAGCACAGACAGG